CGCCGCCGATGGCCCGGCCGCCACCGCCACGATGGGCGGCCGCCTCCCGCCCACCCGCACCGCCGCCCCGGCCACTGCCACCCGCGCCGCCGCCTCGCCCAACGCCGCCGCCGGCCCACCCTCCCGCCCGTCGCCGCTGCCGCCGCGCCGCCGCTGCCGCCCTCCGGGCCGCCTCCGGCCCCGCCACCTGCCTCGCCGCCGCCCACGCGACTGGCCTCGCCGCCGCCACCGCCACCGCCCTCCCCACCGTCCTCCCCTCCGCTCTCACCGCCGCCGACGCGCCGCCACGCCGCCTCGGCCTCCGCCCTCGCCGAGCCGTCGCCACCGCCCTTCTCGCCGCCTCTGCCGCCCGTGCCGCCTTGGCTGCCGCCTATTCCGTGGCCCTCGCCACCGCCGCCGCCGTCGCCGCCGCCGCCGCCACCGCTACCGCCGCCTCCCGCCCCGCCACCCCCTCCGACACCGTCACCCCCCCTCCCTCACACCATCCCGGCCGGCCTCCTCCGTTCTAGCCCCACTCCCACACACCACCACCAACCTTGCCGCGCCCTCGCCGCCCGAACAGCAGCCAGGGGTGGTGGGGGAGGAGGGAGAGGACGATGAGGTGGAAGTGGAGGTGGAGCAGGAGGAGTCGGAGGAGGAGAAGGAGGAGGAGGAGGAGGCGATGAGCGACGACGGGGTGGAGGAGGTGGCGCCACCGCCTCAAAGCTCCGCCGCTGCCGTTCCGTTGCTGGAAGGCGGCGACGTGCAGATCTCTGCCGCATCAGGCGCTTCGGAACTAGTCTATAGTCAATGTGAGATGATCCTTACTTACCCACTCCCTTGCTTGCACCGCACAGGCTTGCTGCCCGAGCACTTGCCGCACCAGCGTGCGCTCTGCTCGCTCCACCCCTTCCATGCGTCCGAGAGGCCGGTCGCGGCGCCGGTCGATGGCAACGAGGCGGCCTGCCCCAACTGCTACTGCTTCGCGTGCGACGCGCCCGTGTCCGCGTGCCGCCACTGGCGGGGCGGCGACGCGCCGGCGCACTGCAATGCGCATAGTGGCAGCGCTCTGTGGCGCCAGAAGCGCATCAATGCGAAGCGGCAGCGCACGCGGACGGTGCGGGCAGCGCAGGCGTCGGTCGACCCACAGCTTGCGCAGCCTTCTCGATCTGGACTGAGGAGCGGGCTTGGGTGAGGTGCATCGCACGGTTCTTCGGAGGCGCAGCCCCTGTGCCTATTGCAATGAGAGCCATCATGAGACGACGTGAGCACGTGACCGGCCCGGGCGACGAGAGGTAACAAAAGTATCGCCTTATCGCAGGGGGTAGTGCGCGCACGGAGATCGGATATTGTTTCAGGTGACACACACCAGTGCGATAAATCTGTAAGGTTCTGTGAGAAAAAACACAAACGCAGACATACTACACTGTGCCGTAACTACATGAGTCTCATAAAGCCGTACCGGTAACTACATGAGTCTCATGGATGCGACGGCAGGCCAGCAACGCCGGCTACAGCAAGGCGACGCCGGGAGAGAGCCGTGCGGTCGCCATCGGTGCCAGCTCCTCCCAGGCAAGAGTGGCCGGGTTGAACCGCTCGACCATGTTAGCCGCCCTTTCGCCCCCAGCCTCCTCGTCATATTTCGTGCCCCCCACAGCGTACAGCTTCCCATAGAGCGCCCCCACAACGAGCTCGCTCCGTCCCGTCGCCATCGGCGCCACCGCCTCCCACGCGTTTGCTGTCGGGTCGTACCGCTCGACCGAGCTGAGGTGGCCGCCGTCGCCATCGCCGCCCACAGCGTACAGCTTTCCTTCGAGCACTGCCGCAGCGTGAGCAGCCCGCGCCTCCGCCATCGGCGCCACCGCCTCCCACGCGTCCAACGCCGGGTCGTACCGCTCGGCAGAGCTGAGCTGCGGGCTGCCGTGTAGGCCGCCGTCGTGGTGGTAGCCCCCCACAGCGTACAGCTTGCCGTCGAGCACCGCCAAACCGAGAGAGTCCCGAGCCGTCGCCATCGGCGCCACCGCCTCCCACGCATCCAGCGCCGGGTCGTAGCGCTCGACCGAAGAGAGCCAGCCGCCGCAGTACCCGCCCACAGCATACAGCTTGCCATTGAGCACCGCCATGGTGAGAGCTGATCGTGCCGTCATCATCGGCGCCACCGCCTCCCACGATTTCGTAGCCGGGTGGTACCGCTCCACCGAGCTGAGGACGTCGGCCCCGACGCCTCCCGCTACGTAGATCTTGCCATCGAGCAGCGCCGTGCAGGTGTATTTGCTTTCAGTCAGCGTGGGCAGCGCCACAGCCTCCTCCTCCCACGCATTCGTTGTCGGATCGTACCGTTCCAGCGAGTTGACAAGCACGCCGCTGATGTCGTAGCCGCCGATCACGAGCAGGCGCGGCCTCTCGCGCTTCGCGAGCGTCTCCTTCCAGCCGCGGCGCCACGCGCGGCACGCCCCCTTGGCGACGTGCTCCGTGGTCGGCAGCTGGGCGAGGATGTGCGGCACGAGGTCCGGCGAGAGGAGGACCTCGGAGAGGATCCACTCGGGCTGCTCCACGAGCCGTGCGGCGTGCTCCTCCGCCACGCGCAGCGCGGCGGCGCTCCAGAGGGGCGCCTGCTTGTCGATCAGCTCGATCAGCTGCTCTTGCGAGAGGCCCGCGAGGCGGGCGCCGATGCGGTGGGAGGCCATCGTGAGAGAGGAAAGAAAAAACCTCGCCCTCGGGGAGTCTCCCCCGCCGGTCTCCTCCTTCGCATTTTTTCTTTTATTTTGAGAGCAGAACGCCGGGTTTGTCTTGTATGTGCGTGTCGGGCCGGGGTGTGTGCGAGGGGCAGAAAGGGGCGGGGGCGTGCGGGGCAGAGGCCCAACGTCGGGCGGCTTGTCGGGGTCCGAAGATTTCGAGAGGGGGAACTCCGTTCGAAGCACGGCCGCAGAGACGCGTCTCACGAGACTATCCAACATGCTCTCCCCGCTTTTCATCTCCACCGTCGTTGCCGTGGTCTCGGTGACCGCCGCCACCTCCACGGCGACGCTGCAGCTCGAGCTGCAGCGAGCCTGCGCTAACGCAGGCGTCGAAAACGCCAGGGGCCTTCTGGCGCACGCAATACAGCTGCACAGGGGCGATTCTAACGGGCGGTCGACCGAAGATGCGGTGCTGCTGTAGCCTGTACGCCACCATCGCCGCCGCCAACTCGACCAACGACGTCAACCTGACCGACGCATTCGTGGCCGCCACATGGGGCTCGGCTTCATCTACCTCCAGGGCGACGGCGTGCGGCGCGATCGAGTGCGGGCGTATGACCTTTTCGAGCGCGCGTGGGACCTTTCCGAGCGCGCGGAGGCGCCGCGCTACTACGAACGTGCCACCAGTTTGTCAAGCGCCTTTTCATGCTCCGCGCCACGTCGCGCCGTACCTCGTCGGCACTGCTTATATGATCGCCGACGTCTTCACCAAGACGCAGGCGACGAGAGCTATGTTCTTCACCTGTCGCGACTACATGCTCAACGCCAGCAACGGCCCCGGCTGTGGAGCAAGCTCGTCGCGACCGTCGGCAAGGCGTGAGTCATCACTGCCTCTTCGCCGAAGACGCGCGAGTCGTCCGAGATAGTTGCCGATGCAACTAGGGGGGAGCGTTAGAGACGACTCTCTCTCTCCCAACTGTGAACAGTCGTTATCTCTATATGCGCAGCTATTCATAGCCGCGCATGTTGTTTGTGTGTGTATCCGCGCTCTTGGCGCGATTACGAGACGGACTAGTTTGTGTTGCACTAGTTGTACTTTTCGTAATAGTATTCCGCATTCATTGCGAGGGCGGACCACTCCTAGCGTGCAGACCGCGGGAGCTGGTGCCGCGGCCAGTGTAGACCTGGCCTGCGCTGTGACGCGCGCGCTCATCTTCATACAACGGTTTAGAGAGTGGTTGTTGTATGTGTTGATGTCGTTACAGTATACGTGTACGCAGAATTCATTCGACTGTGTCACAAGTGTCATGCAATGCCGAGCTGCGCGTGTGACGGCTCCATCCTTGAAACGCAAAAGCATCCATGACGATGTGTCTCAACTCTACGGGGGTGTGGAGGGTGAGTTGACCAGGGGTTGTGCGCTGGGCCCTCCTGCTCGGCTCCAGCGAGTCCTTCTCAGCGACCTCCTCGAGGAGGTCGCCGGCATCGCCAACGCCCAGCTCCGCGAGCCGCCCCTCATACCTGCGGTAGAGGCTGTCGGCGACGCGCGCGCGCTTGAACAGAGCCGCGAGCGGCTCTCCCAGGTCGATGGCGGGCGAGGCCGCCATCGAAAAGGCCTGGTGCCCGGCCGCGTGGCCCCCGGGCTGCGGGTGGGTGCTCGCTGTGGCGGCCGCCGAGAGGGCAGAGAGCGGCGGCAGGCCGCCGACGGCGTACAGAGTAGAAGGATCTGACCTCAAGGGTGGCTGATGTAACCAAGCGCTGGTAGCGTGGTTTGACCTCACATCCATGGTATCACAGTGTGCCGGCAGTCGCCGAGCAGTGTCGCTCACACAAGCCGCAGCACAAGTGACTGAGGGCCAGTGAGGGCGAGCCCATCGCTGTCACAGCTGTGGCAGCCGCACAGTAGGCTGTGTCAACTGTGCAGAGTGTGTGAGCAGCAGAGGAGCTGCTCTCCAGGGTTCTGTCGCAAAGAGCTGCATGCCACCGAAGGCGCTGTCGAGGACGAGGCGGTTCGCCGAGCTTGGCGAAATCGGGGGACGCCCCGCCACCGACGAGCGCGTTGGAGTATTCACTGCGGACAAAGACGGCTACACGCACACGAGCCGCGGGCGTGTAGCCGTCATAGCGGCGAGGCGCGGGACCGTCTGTGGCGAAGTGGGTCGCGTCCCCGGATTTCCGTTTACTCGCCCAGTTACTCGACCGGGAATGCCGGGGGGGCTAGATCTAACACCTGACGCGCGAGCGAACTCACAGTATCGATTGTTCTGCGTTTAAAAACCCGCGAAGCCACACATCAAGCAAGACCCACTCGGCCGCAGCGCGGGGCCGCGCCCACGCACCGGACTCGAGAGGCGCTTGCGAGATTTCCCCGCGACATAGTACTCATGCGCACAATTCCGCGGCCCGCCATGCTGTTCTCGTGGTGCGCCCCAAGCGGCACGGCATGCGCAAAGGGGCGACGGCACCGCGCCCGCAGCAAATGTGCACCCCAAAACTCCTCGACCCCGCCCCGCCCCCGCAAGCACCGCCTCTCTCCTAATGTGTCACTCCCCCGCCGCGCAGCCGCGCCGTCAGCGCAGCTTCCGCGCCATCCGCGCCGTCTCCGCACCGCACCGTCCGCGCCGTGTCCGCGCCGTGTCCGCGCCGTCAGCGCTGGGGCAGCGCCGCCTTTGTGGCGGGGCAGCGCTTGAGGAGCTTGGCCTGGATGCGCTTTCCGTACAGGGTCGAGCGGAGGGTGGGCAGGTGCGGCGTGATCTGTGCGACGAGGAGGGCGACCACGTCGTCCTTGCCGACGGTGAGGAGGGTCTGGATGACATAGTTTGCGAACGGGTCGTGCAGCAGCGTGGCGAACGCCTCGGACGCGGTCAGCTCGTTGGCGACCACCGCGACTGCGGTCGGGTCGCCCGACTTGAGGCACCTATGGGGAGAGATGGGGAGAGATGGGGGAGAGAGGAGGGAGAGATGGGTCGCCCGACGTGAGGCACTTTTCGATCACGTTGGAGGAGAACTTTTGGAGGGAGAGCTCCGCGAAGCCGCCGCGCAGCGCCTGCACGACCGCGTGCGTGAGCGGCGGCTGGCGCAAGTCGAGGATGTACTGCACGACGTAATTGCCTGTTCACAGCTGCAGGTGTGAAGAGACGCCGTTCACAGCCAGAGGATGTACTGCACGACGTAATTGCCAAACGGGTCGACGACGAGCTTGGGCGCGAGCCGCACGACCTCGCCGATGATCTCCTCGCGGTGCGGCGCCGGGGCGTGGTCCAGGCAGCGCTGCAGCACGCAGCAGCCGTGCCGGTGCGTCGCGATGGCGAGGCAATCCGAGACGGCGCGGTCATAGATGCCCGCGGCCAGCTCGGCGGGCAGCGCGGCGAGGCAGCGCTGCACCACGTGGTTCGCGTTCATGTCGCGGATGAGCTGCATGATCGAGGGCAAGAGGGCGGCGCACAGGGCCGACTGCTGGGCGGCACTGTCGGCGCACTCCACCATCTTTTGCACCACGCGCGTCCCGTGCACGTTGAGCGCGACCTGTTCACAGCTGGAGGTGTGAAAGACGCGCTGCTCGCACCACGCGCGTCCCGTGCACGTTGAGCGCGACCTCGACCATCCGCTCGACCGTGCCGTCGATGAGTGCGGCGCGCTGCTCGCCGGTGCCGTACTGCACTAGCTTCTGCACGAGGTAGTTGCCGAACGGGTCCATGCCGAGGGAGACGACGTCCTCCTTGGTCGCCTAGTAAAGTACTGGCCGTTCACTCATTAACGGGTCCATGCCGAGGGAGACGACGTCCTCCTTGGTCGCCTCGAAGATGAGGTCGACATGCGGCTTGTGGCGCAAGTCGAGCTGGTCCTGGAAAAAAGAAAACGGGGCGGGCGTGTTTCTTGTGTCGGCGTGTGTGGTGGCGGCGTGCCGTTCTCCCATCCCTCCCTTGGGTTGTGTGTTTTCTTTCTTTCTTTCTTTTTGGCGTGCGGCGTGCGTGGCGAAGCGGAGCTGGGCGAAAGATGCGGAGAGATGGGAAGAGATGGGGGAGAGGTGGCGAGAGAGATGGCGATAGGCCTGCAGGAAGCGGCAGCCGTTCTGCTCGTGGGCGAGCTCGCGCAAGCCGCCCATCTCGTGCGCCTCGTCGACCGTCCGGATCTCGCGCCTACGGGGGGGGAGATTGCGGGAGATACGGGGAGATTGCGGGAGATGTGCGACTCGTCGACCGCCGCATCTCGCACCCCCGAAACATCAGCCGCTTCGGGTGGTGGCGCGCCTCGCCGCCGCCGGCGCCGGCCGCGTCGTGCTTGCCGAGCTTGCCGCCGCCGCCGCCCATCCAGCCGCCCCCGTGCGGCTGCAGCGGCGGCGGCGGCTTCTGGGGTGCGCCTCCTCCCATCGCCGCCGACATGGCGACCGGGTCCCAGCCGCCGATAGCGGGTAGGGACGAGGGGTGGTACGGGTAGTGCTGCGGCGGCGGCTGCTGCGGCAGCAGGCCGGCGGGCGTGGTTTGCGGGAGGAGGTACTGGGGCATGACGGCGACGAGCCCTATCCGAGCCTTGGCCTCGAGAGAGGAAGCCGCGCGCCTACTCTCGGAGAATCTCGGAGAGTCTCGCGCCATCTCGGGTGCTCTCGGGCCATCTCGCGCGCCGGCTCTTGCCGCCGCTCCCCGCCGCCCCTGTCGGCCGCCTCGGCCTCGCCGACCTCGCGCGCAAACGCCACCGCCGCCTCCACCGCCGTGCCGAAGGGTCCGAGGAGAACCTTCTCTCGCGCCCCCGCCCCGCCCCCCACGACGCGCCAGTAGTCCACGTCGAAGCCGCCGGAGCCGTTCCGCGCAACGCACGAATAGCCGGTCGCGTTGGTGTCCGACAGGTGCAGCCGCAACCCTTCCGCCTGCTCCGCGCGCGAGTCGTCGCGGCCCTGCGCGCGAGAGAGGCCCTGTCGCCGCTCACCGCCGCCGCCGCCGCCGCCGCCGCCGCCGCGCCTCTCGTCAGCGGCCGCGCGCCGAGATCTTGCCGGACGAGGCGAAAGGTAGACGGGTGCGGGTCGCACGTAACGAGGATCTGGAGCGGATCCAGCCTGGGTCGCGCCGCGCCGCAGCCGAACGACGGCGGAGCTGAAGCGGCGCGTGGAGAGTCACGGCGGCGAGCAGACTGCCCGACGAGCGGTCAGGCGCCGCACTGCCCAGGGGGTATGCACGGAGGATATGCTGGCACGTGGCCGCGGCATAGCGGCGAGAGGGGCGAGAGAGACAGCAGGCCGTGGATGCAGCCCGCGCCGGAAGTTGTGGGTAACAAAAGAATTCTTAAGATACAAGCCTCTCTCACAGCACACTGGCACGACAAGGGCGCAGACTGGCGCGGACTGGCACACACACAGGCTCACCACCGGAGCCGCCTAAGCGATGGGTAACAAAAGAATTTTCTGTGCGCCACAAGCCCCTCTCACAGCGACTGGCACGGACTAGCACCACAAAAGGCACCGCAATAAAGAAAGAATTTTACAACAAAACTTAGTAAAGAAAGAACTTTTAGCCGCGCTGCGCGCCGCAAAGAGAGCGCGGCGCGTACAGAGGAGCACGCGCTGCACACGCACCGCGAAGGCCGTCTCACGAGTCGGCGAGCCGAGCCCTGATCATAGCACGAAGTGTGAACGGCGTCTCTTCACACCTCGACACCGTGAACGCCGTCCGGCGCCTTCTCGCCGCCCCAAAGGCGCTCCGCGCCGTACTAGCAGCGCGGAGCGTGTGCGCAGTACACGCGCGACGCGCCCCGCGAACGGCGTCTAATGAATCGGCGCCTCGAGACCTACCCGAGCCGAAAAGTGTGAGAACCGTCTTTTCACACCTCAAAGCCGTTAAGTCACTTTTTCGCCGTCAAGCCGCTCTAGCGGCGCTGCGCGCCGCGTGGAGAGCGCGGCGCGTGCAGAGAAGCGCGTGCTGCGTACGCACCGCGAAGGCCGTCTCATGAGTCGGCGAGCCGAGCCCTGTTCATAGCAGAACGTGTGAACGGCGCCTCTTCACACCTCAACACCGTGAACGCCGTCCGGCGCCTTCTCACCGCCCCTCACACCTCGAAGCCGCTAAGTCTTTTTTTCGCCGTCAACCCGCTCTAGCGGCGCTGCGCGCCGCGTTGAGAGCGCGGCGCGTGCAGAGGAGCACGTGCTGCACACGCACCGCGATGGCCGTCTCGTTAGTCGGCGATCTGAGCCCTATTCGTGGCACAAAGTGCGAACGGCGTCTCTTCACACCTCGAGTCGTGAAGGCCGTCCGGCGCCTTCTCGCCGCCCCAAAGGCGCTCCTCGCCGGGCTAGCAGCGCCGAGCGTGTAGCGCAGCACACGCGACACACGGCCTTTGAATGGCGTCTGACAAATGTTTTTCTTCTTCTCAGCGCATCCATCTCGGCGCGTCGATTCTTCGTTTTCCGGGTTCCAATTCTTTTCCTGCCTCGCCTGTCGCGTGAATCGTTTCGTGCGACCGCCTTTTGTCGAAAATTCTTTACGACCCGAAAATTCTTTTTCGGTCGCGGACGGCACAGCTCGCTCGCTCGCCATTTGCTCACGCTCGCGCAGGCGCGTCGCAGCGTGCACCCACGCAACGCCTCCGCTCCGTCCACACCACCCACTGCGTAGCCATGGCATTTCCGTGTGCATGCGACGGACTCGCTCTCCTGCACTTGCCGCCGCCCTCGCCACCGCCGGTTCCGAAACTGCTCTGCGGCCGCCATCGCACTCACTGCCTCGCTCTGCAGGAGTCGACACCAGCGCCACCTGACCCGCACCCGCTCGCTCTCGCTCACGCTTCGTGCTGTCGCTGCTAGGGTCTTCGCTCATCGACTCGGAGCGCCGGCCGCCTCTCTCGTGCTCTTTTCGCTGTCACGTCACCTCGACACCGCGCGGTCGCGACTCTCGATGTTGCGTCGGCTCTCTCGGTCACAGCGTCACCACCCGCTGCGCCGAGCAGCAAAGGCGAGGCGCAGCCTCGCATCGGCGGTGGCCGACCGCCGTGCCGACGGAAAAAATGCCTTCGATCCCGCCGCAACCCTCCATCTCACCGCCGCCGTCTTCGCCACGAGACCGCCTCCGGCGAGCTCGGCCGGCTCTCCTCGCACACGCGGCGCTCTCGAGCGCCCCAAGCATAAAGATTGCCGGGTGTCGTTAGGGTTAGCCAGGGTAGTGTTGCGGGTAGGGTTAGAGGTGGCACACCGTCATGACGTTAGGGTTAGGATCACGTCGAGAGCTAGGGTTAAGTTAGGGTTACACGCTCCCCCGCCACGGCTCGAAGAAGGGCTCAAAAATCGACAAAACGGTCAACCTCGCGAAAAAATCGCGCGCTGCGCGCGCAGGAAGAGAAAGAGAGGGAGAGAGATTCATTGCCACCGCGCAACCACACCCCGGCGGAGCCCGGGAGAAAGTTGCCTAGCGCAGCGACACGACTTTCCCGGGGCGACGCCGGCGCGCGCGGAAAACGCGGTTTTCGCCAAAACGGTGGAGGCCGCCCCGCGCTGCCGGCCCATCAAACCCGCACCGCCTGAAGCCCTCGGGAAGGCCCTCAAAATGCCGACGCGGGAGGGCGAAAATCGCCTCGCTTCAGAGCCCGCGCGAGGACGGACCCCACGCCGCCCCACGAACGACCCGCGCAACCCGCGACCAACGGCCGTGCGGAGAATCGGCAGGAGACGTCCGCAGCCCCCAGGATCGTCCTCGTCCGATCTCACCATCGGCCACCATGACCCTCCCCGCGCGCGCTGCAAATCTCCAGGCCCTCTGCTCGACTTTGGACGACCGACTTTATTTCGGGTGCTAAAGCAGCTCGCACGGGCCCATCTCGCCGTCCCCGCCCCCGCCCGACCCCGCCCGGCAGGCCCGGCGCTGCTGGCTTCCCCCGCGCACCTCACGGGGCGCCATGACACCGCCTGCCAGGCGGCCTGCAGCAGTGCGGGACCAGCAGCTGCTACATTCCTTCGTCCTGACGCGCGAGCGAACACAGTGTATCGATTGTTCTGCGTTTAAAAACCCGCGAGAAAGCCACACATCAAGCAAGACCCACTCGGCCGCAGCGCGGGGCCGCGCCCACGCACCGGACTCGAGAGGCGCTTGCGAGATTTCCCCGCGACATAGTACTCATGCGCACAATTCCGCGGCCCGCCATGCTGTTCTCGTGGTGCGCCCCAAGCGGCACACGGCATGCGCAAAGGGGCGACGGCACCGCGCCCGCAGCAAATGTGCACCCCAAAACTCCTCGACCCCGCCCCGCCCCCGCAAGCACCGCCTCTCTCCTAATGTGTCACTCCCCCGCCGCGCAGCCGCGCCGTCAGCGCAGCTTCCGCGCCATCCGCGCCGTCTCCGCACCGCACCATCCGCCGTGTCCGCGCCGTGTCCGCGCCGTCAGCGCTGGGGCAGCGCCGCCTTTGTGGCGGGGCAGCGCTTGAGGAGCTTGGCCTGGATGCGCTTTCCGTACAGGGTCGAGCGGAGGGTGGGCAGGTGCGGCGTGATCTGTGCGACGAGCAGGGCGACCACGTCGTCCTTGCCGACGGTGAGGAGGGTCTGGATGACATAGTTTGCGAACGGGTCGTGCAGCAGCGTGGCGAACGCCTCGGACGCGGTCAGCTCGTTGGCGACCACCGCGACTGCGGTCGGGTCGCCCGACTTGAGGCACCTATGGGGAGAGATGGGGAGAGATGGGGGAGAGAGGAGGGAGAGATGGGTCGCCCGACGTGAGGCACTTTTCGATCACGTTGGAGGAGAACTTTTGGAGGGAGAGCTCCGCGAAGCCGCCGCGCAGCGCCTGCACGATCGCGTGCGTGAGCGGCGGCTGGCGCAAGTCGAGGATGTACTGCACGACGTAATTGCCTGTTCACAGCTGCAGGTGTGAAGAGACGCCGTTCACAGCCAGAGGATGTACTGCACGACGTAATTGCCAAACGGGTCGACGACGAGCTTGGGCGCGAGCCGCACGACCTCGCCGATGATCTCCTCGCGGTGCGGCGCCGGGGCGTGGTCCAGGCAGCGCTGCAGCACGCAGCAGCCGTGCCGGTGCGTCGCGATGGCGAGGCAATCCGAGACGGCGCGGTCATAGATGCCCGCGGCCAGCTCGGCGGGCAGCGCGGCGAGGCAGCGCTGCACCACGTGGTTCGCGTTCATGTCGCGGATGAGCTGCATGATCGAGGGCAAGAGCGCGGCGCACAGGGCCGACTGCTGGGCGGCACTGTCGGCGCACTCCACCATCTTTTGCACCACGCGCGTCCCGTGCACGTTGAGCGCGACCTGTTCACAGCTGGAGGTGTGAAAGACGCGCTGCTCGCACCACGCGCGCCCCCGTGCACGTTGAGCGCGACCTCGACCATCCGCTCGACCGTGCCGTCGATGAGTGCGGCGCGCTGCTCGCCGGTGCCGTACTGCACTAGCTTCTGCACGAGGTAGTTGCCGAACGGGTCCATGCCGAGGGAGACGACGTCCTCCTTGGTCGCCTAGTAAAGTACTGGCCGTTCACTCATTAACGGGTCCATGCCGAGGGAGACGACGTCCTCCTTGGTCGCCTCGAAGATGAGGTCGACATGCGGCTTGTGGCGCAAGTCGAGCTGGTCCTGGAAAAAAGAAAACGGGGCGGGCGTGTTTCTTGTGTCGGCGTGTGTGGTGGCGGCGTGCCGTTCTCCCATCCCTCCCTTGGGTTGTGTGTTTTCTTTCTTTCTTTCTTTTTGGCGTGCGGCGTGCGTGGCGAAGCGGAGCTGGGCGAAAGATGCGGAGAGATGGGAAGAGATGGGGGAGAGATGGCGAGAGAGATGGCGATAGGCCTGCAGGAAGCGGCAGCCGTTCTGCTCGTGGGCGAGCTCGCGCAAGCCGCCCATCTCGTGCGCCTCGTCGACCGTCCGGATCTCGCGCCTACGGGGGGGAGATTGCGGGAGATACGGGGAGATTGCGGGAGATGTGCGACTCGTCGACCGCCGCAACTCGCACCCCCGAAACATCAGCCGCTTCGGGTGGTGGCGCGCCTCGCCGCCGCCGGCGCCGGCCGCGTCGTGCTTGCCGATCTTGCCGCCGCCGCCGCCCATCCAGCCGCCCCCGTGCGGCTGCAGCGGCGGCGGCGGCTTCTGGGGTGCGCCTCCTCCCATCGCCGCCGACATGGCGACCGGGTCCCAGCCGCCGATAGCGGGTAGGGACGAGGGGTGGTACGGGTAGTGCTGCGGCGGCGGCTGCTGCGGCAGCAGGCCGGCGGGCGTGGTTTGCGGGAGGAGGTACTGGGGCATGACGGCGACGAGCTGCGGTACGCCGTTCATGTTCATCATGGCGAGCCCTGTGTGAGTCAAAAAGAGGGCTGGGGGAGAGGGCTGGAGGAGAGGCGCTGGAGGAGAGGGCTGGAGGAGAGGGCTGGGGGAGAGGGCTGAAAACAAGAAGACGTGTACGAGGGAGGAGGAGGAGGGGAAGACGGAGGCGAGCACTCTTGATGAGGAGGAGAGCGCCTGTCGGGAGGCCTTGGGGCAGCGGCGCCATGTGCC